CCATTTATTGTATTTTATAAATGGCCTTTCGTGTCAGTCGGAATTATGCAAAAGAAGATTAATGCTTGTATTGGACGCCGAAAAGGGGTTATTCATTTTCTAGGGAATGATATCTGCCAATGGATAAAATTATAACCTATCTGAAGTTAGTGTATACTGTACACATACATCGAAACTGTATGTAATTCATAATTTTTAAAGCTGATGACTATCTTAGGCACTCGGCAAGATTTTGCACAAAACATGTGATTGTTAAGTCGTAGGTTTCTTTATTCACGTTCGGATGCCGACAGATCTGAAAATGTACTTCTTATTGCTGTCCAAACCAATCTAAGGCAAGGCGCGCACTGAGATGGTAAGCAAGTGACGTGGTAGTGGCGCGGTGATCAAGTGGCAGGTGGAATCGCTAAAGCCTATATAAACAAATGAAGACGCGCGTATCAAAATGGAGTAGCGGTGGCGTGGCATTTTGTAGGTGGCGTGATGTCAGTCTGGTGCCACTAATCTCGAGCAAGTTTAATTTTCGACTGGCAAGCGGTTGGTGACGACGACGCGACGTGGGTTTTTGTTTACTTTTTCCTGGAGTGAATCATGCGAGACGACCACGAATTGAACATTAATTTCGTAGCCCTTGTAGAGGCATATCCCTGTCTGTATGACAATACACGGGAGGATTCATATGATCCATGTGCAAGAACGGGCTTGGGCGAAAATTGCAAAAGACATTGGGGAAGGAGGTAAGTAATAAAAAAATGTGGTTCCTTGAAAAATATATTTTTTTATTTAAAGGCATTATTTAGTTATCTTTTTATTCTGTTAATATTGTTATCTTCTTGTTTTCACACAAAATCGTTTTTGACCTTTAAGTGACCCGTCCACTGTTAAAAAAAAATCACAAAGTTTCTCCCGTGTAGCAATTGCTGGATTGGTAGCTCTTCTTTGATTTGAGAGTCTCGGATAAGGCTGTTCCTCATTTTCTACTTCTATGTCATCATCATTTCCTTTCTTTCCTCGCGGGCGCGAAAATATACCTTCCTCTTTTTTAATAAAATTATGCAGTAAGCACACTGCTTTAACAATATTGTCCACTGTATTTATATTAAGACCAATTGTTGTGTGTAAAATTCTGAACTTGGATGACATCATTCCAAATGAGCATTCAACTGATTTGCGACCTCTTGATAACCTACCATTGAATACCCTTTTTCTATTTGTTAAGCCTCTTTTAGGGTAGGGTTTCATTATAGTACACATCAATGGAAAAGCTTCGTCTGCAGCAAAATAAAATGGAAAATTTGTGTCTTGTCCTGGTAATGGAGATGGGTCTGGCAAGTCTAACGTGCTGTTAACTAATTTCTTTCCAAAATTACTTTCTTTTAATGCCCTCCCGTCACTATTTCGGCCGTACTCACCAACATCAATGGTCAAGAAACAGCCATCTGCGTTGATACAGCCATCAAAACAATGGAAAAATACCCTTTGTAATTAATAAATTCGGAACCTGATTTTGGTGGACGTTTGATCCTGATGTGTTTACCGTCTATACTCCCCACACAATTTGGTAAATTCCATAACTCCCAGTATCTTCGAGCTGATTGTACCCATGTTTCTTTGGTAGGATTAGGAAGATAAGTTGGTTGTAGAACTTTCCAAATTACTACTGAAGTTCTTGCAATTATTTCTCTAATGGTAGTATGACCTCTCAAAAATACATGATAGTGCCTTTAGATTGCAGCCGGTTGCAAAATACCTGGAAAGAAAAACAATAATTAAGTAGGTACTTAACAAACAAAGTGGTGAAGTGGTGGTTTCCCCACATCACGGCATTTTGGTTTTAAAAATATAAAAAATTACATATCAATTGGCGTTATTTCACTTTTTTATAGTGTTCGAAAGCGTAAAAAAGTGAATATTAATAACAATATTATTAATAATTATAAAATAGCAAGCAATAAAGTAAACTTTTACACACACATTATGCTCAGCACGCTTCATTTGTATATCTTAATGATGTGTTTTTATTGTAGCTACCATCGCAGATTGCAAAAAAAGGTGGAAGAATTTACGTGGAAGTTACACGAAACATTTAAAGACATACATGCCATCTGGATCTGAGCATCGGTAAAACGCCCATACTATCTCTCGGAGTACTTATGTTTTGTTTTTACCGTTCACTAAGTCCCGCCAACGAAAGGAAATGTTGACGCACCAAAGAATATTGAAAACGGCCGATATAATTCATGAAGAATCAATTACGAGGACCTAGAGACCGAAGAGCTTTAAACTCAACAATTAGGAAGTCCAAAACTTGGAAATTACAAAAACAACCAAGGGAGAAATGACGATATTGATGATGAACAGTCGATTCCTGAAGAATTTAACGAGCCTGTATCAAATATTATTGTATCTCAGACAGACAGTTTGGAAAAAATGATTCTGGAGATCCAAAGCAAAAAACTCAAAAGAGAAGTGTATCCAGTTCGTCAGTACCTAGTGTAAATAATCCTAAAAGAAATAAAACTACTCCGAATCAAATATCTTTGGCAGATGTTAACAAATCTGCTTTGAATTTTTTGAAAAAAAGAAGCAAGCACCGTATAAACCACCTGCTTTCACTAATGATGATGCCGATGTGCAGTTTTTTGTTGAGTCTATTGCCCGATTTAAAAAAAATGACAGACAAGCAGAAAAGAAAATATAAAGTGGGAGTCCTAAATCTTGCCGGTGAAATCTTGGATGAGCCTGTAGTGTCCTCATATCTCTGCACCTCTCTTCTCCCCCAACGTCTAGTTATTATCGCTTGCTGCAGACAGCATACCTTCTACCCGTTCCTCTTCAGCATGTACCAGCTCTATTCGACCTCAATGTGAGACAGCTGATTCGCTGAACATATGAAGATATTTCGTTTTCAACAGTACGTCAGACATCCACACAAGCACAAGATACATTATTACCAAATATTCAGTATAATAACCCATTATTACCAGATCATGAATTTGCTTTTTAAGAATAATGTACAATAAGTTTGTATTTGGATGGTAAATATATCTGTATTTATATTTTTTCATTGTACGTACCTCAGTGTTATTAGAACGCTTCTCTTCGGGAGAAACACATTTCCTGAAGTTCGTATTCTTTTTTTGAAGCATAGGCCGTAGTTTAGTCAGTAACTTGCTAAAAGTCTCTTTCTTCATTCGATAGAAAACTTTAAATTTTTGGTTGCCCAGTTCAAATCCTTTTTATAAACATTAAAATTCCAAACTTTTTATTTTTTTGCCACAGCGGATGACCCAATGCCGTTTCTTCTTCGTCTCCTGACTTATAACATTAGATTAACAAGTTGCATAAATAAAAGGGCATCTTCATCTTCTGAGGACGACATGGTAAACCGGTGACATCAACTGACTTGTTTGCCACTTCAGTGCGCTATATATCACTTTCATACCACTTCGCCGCTATTCCGATCGCCACGCCAAATTTTACCATCCCTATGCCTCTCACACCACTCCAATACCTCACCACTTACCCCACTACCACACTACCTCAGTGCGCGCCTTGCCTAATAAATAAAAAATGTCTGTGTCTTGATAGTAGATCCACTCGGCTTATCGAAGTTGGAAGCCAATATTAAAATAATAAAAAATTCATACACAAACACGGCATTTATTTTCAGGCCAGGCCAAGATAAGGAAAAAAAAACGAAAAAATGAAAATCGCTCAAACTTAATTCATTGACGTTCCCATTTTTGAAATATTGTTATAGTGGTAAAAAATTGGGGTGGGAAATGCAGTGGGTCGTTTTTGAGGTTGCGTAGCCCTGAGTTTATATAGTGCAGTAATCTTTAGATCGTAACGCTGAAAAATGGGTGGCGACCGGGAACTGATTACAGGCTTATACCTGTTTGACTGACTTGATCCATTTCATCCCTTCGCTAGACACGTTTGTAGCTACCCTCACCTGAGAGGGATTAACGTGAGGTGAACCTGATCTTTTATTCACTAATGACAGGGTTGCGTGTAAAGCGCAGATATTTTTTAATAAATGTTCCCAAATAGCTAGGTCTATACCAGTTTTTGAAAAGCGAAAAAGCGTATTGACTTCATGCCTCTAGATCTGCACCAGTGCCTTTAGTAAATTTGCCTATCGGTCTTGGATTTCGTGTGAGTAAACAGCCTATACACTATACCCTCTAGTAATTACAATCATAATTAACAATTTACGAATATCAATCAAGTCAAACACGAAATTGCTGTAGCGGGTCCTGTTATGTGTTCTGAGCGTGATCTGCTTATTCCGCATTAATAATCACTTTGATACTGTTACAAGGAGAAGCATCTACATGCATGTAGTCACGGTTTCTATGGAAGCAAGCAGTTACTACCTACCATAAGAGCCTGTGGTAAATTTTCACCATCATTAATTAAGACGATTTAGAATAATGTTCCGCAATCTAAACAAATTTATCAGTTTACTGTTTCTTATTGACCTACTACGATACTACCTGAGGATACGAAACTAGGTAAATTTAAATTTTAGGATTTAGGAGTAATTTGGAAGACTAGAAGTCGATGGCGGCTAGTGAGGTGGACGGACATGCTATAGGTTATCAACAGCTTAATGTCAGTTTCGCAGGGTATTTGTGAAGAAAAGAGAATTCTGAGTATGAAATTCTTTTTTCTAATCTCAAATACCTTGCGAACCGCGCCTTAATCTTTCAAACATGTGAAGGGTACAGGGCAATAAGAAAAATGCCACAAAAAGTTAGTTTCGATAAAAGTGAATTTAAAACCTTAAAGATTCCTAGACTCGTTGTACACGGTGGGTCAAAGATCTGAAGGAGTGCCAAAGATTCCTTATTACAGGAAAGTGAAAAAAGTGTAATTATAGATAAAAAAACATTTACCGATATACATGGTATCTCATAGTGACGCCAGTCCAAACATTTTTTTATGGAAAATCCTTTTTGTCCTTGTATCTTGAAATTCTTCTTATGATTATGACATTTTCATGTGTTAGCGTCCATGTCTGAATTCAACTTGTTTTGAGATATGAGGCTAGAAGTGGGCCTTTTGACATATGCGACACCCTGTAAAATCTAAGGGCTGATTAACCAGTAAAATTCCTATCTTAGGTCTTACGATCTGTTCTAATATAAGAACTACCTTAACGGGAAATTTATCACACAGCGCCTAGAATATAAGAAATTTGTTTTAGCCTCAATAGCTCAACCACATAATCAGTCCAAGTATTTTTTTTTAATTGGGACAGGAAAAAACAATGAACCAAATAAATCTTCATTCACAAGAATATAGAACAAACAAACCAAAATTAATGGTAACTGCTTAAAAACGATTACTTAACGTTTATTTTAGACGGTGACATTTTTCATGTGTTAGCGTCCATGTCTGAATTGAACTTGTTTTGAGATATTGAGGCTAGAAATGGGCCTTTTGACATATGCGACACCCTGTAAAATCTAAGGGCTGATTAACCAGTAATATGCCTATCTTAGGTCTTACGATCTGTTCTAATATAAGAACTACCTTAACGGGAAATTTATCACACAGCGCCTAGAATATAAGAAATTTGTTTTAGCCTCATAGCTCAACCACATAATTAGTCCAAGTATTTTTTTAATTGGGACGGGAAAAAACAATGAACCAAATAAATCTTCATTCACAAGAATATAGAACAAACAAAGCAAAATAATGGTAACTGCTTAAAACGATTACTTAACGTTTATTTTAGACGGTGACGATCAGTGGACGTTCATCTTTTTCATATAACGGCTGTGACGTTCATCTTTTTTCCCTGCACGGCAAGTTTTCAATTGGGCATAGCTACGAACTGTCATTTTTTGCATGTTTCCGATATCTCATGGGATTGTGCTGCGTTAAGACTACATGTTGCCGGTTCTAACTACGAAACGCCAAATTTTTGTCATTAATCTTTTTTCCTGTACCCTTTACGTGTTATCCTATTCAATTTTTATAGTTTGACCACCACCGCCACTTGTCGAGAGCAAAATCACACATCGGCATCATTACCTAGTGGAGTGAAAAAATATCTATCCTTTTTGATACCGCTGTTTGTGAAAGCAGCGGCATACGTTAAAATCCATAACCAAACTAAAACAGAAATATATCCTAAAACTTACGATCCAGTTGCCCTTAACTATAAACTACGTCATCAACAGTTGAGGCGCGATGTACAGGTCGTTTCGCTATATGTTGACCCACAAATTTTTTGTATGCCCGTCTAGAACAAGATGTTTCATATAAAAGTTAGAAGGTCTAACATCGAGTTTTTCAGCCAATGTGTCTTTTGTATAAATGCTATCAAGGAAAGTTGTATTTTTCCAATGTTGTATTCGAAAAAATAAACCTTACGTGATAGCACCCCGTAAATAAAAAAGACATTACCTGAAAAACTTTATATCGGATCCTACAACTTCCGTATATATTTTTTTCTAAAAGGCCATGCTGGAATGTTAAGAGAAGGTCAATTGATAGCTGGACCCTGTCGGCACATGCTGGTGACATCCTTATGGCTTTGATCTTTTTTTCGGTCAATAAATACGCAGAGAAAAGTGGCAAACAAAGTTATCAGTTGCGGATCAGCTATTAACGTCAGTAGGTGTCAAAACCTAATGAAGTATCGTGAAAATAGATCTACCTTTTAGCGGAACAGTCTTTTCCCGATCTGCTTAGGACGTTTTGACTATCCATGGAACATTGCTGATATTGAAGTCCACAGTAAAATCTAATGCGCTTCGCCTGACATCATTTCTGCAGCCACGTATATCTGGACAATTGAAACAAGTAACTTTAAAATATGGTGGAAGTGACTGATTATCTCCTCAACTGGGGGTCGCTCACATGAGACGCGCAAGGCGGCAGCATCTACAGTTCGAATATTCAAAATCCAGAAATTTCTGGAACAATTTTACTACATTATCGGTCAGACAAGTGAGAACCTTGATGTTTGCCATTGCAGTACAAATTCTATTTACTAACGTAGCAGCCACTGTTCATGGAATAATCGAGGACCTATACGACGAGCTAGCGACGTTATGTGAGTCAAAAACGTTCTGAAGTTTTATTATTTTTGAATAAAGAACCACATTCGAAATAACATCAAGTATGAAATTTGTTAACTCGATAATTTTTTTATTATTGACTCTCACAGCGAGGATGTTTAGCATCAAGACTCGTAATTGTAGCTGTATAATGTTAGTGTCCCACAAAGCAAATAGTTTCCTGCAATGCAGCGTAAATAGCACCACTTTAAGAGTAAAGCTGATTTACGATCGTATTTCAACCAGGATTTCTACTTAAGCATTCATACAACTGCAACACTACCCCAGAAATACAGAACTGTAATGAGAGCTGTTAATTCTGGTTTACGCCCATTACACTACTAATGGAATTGGATTACAAGATGCGGGGAATAATTGGAATTTATTTCTACACTTGTTATGCTTTAGGTTTTAGAGAAAAAAATACCACTATTACATGCATACTTATGCCGGTGTCGACTTTGTGAGTAGTAAAATATAGTGGAGTAGAGGACTGAATTGCAAATGGACTTTGAATATGCATCTTGCTTAGTATCTAAGTCAACTGTTGCACACTCTGAAAACTTAATTATTCGATGGCTATGCAGACCGTAGGGTAGAAAGAGTATCTGTGAAAAACATTGGTGATTGAGAAAATGTAATTATGGACTTCGCATATATGCCCCATGTGTACTGAGTCAATGTTTGTACCTTTTAGTATTTTTTTATGCCATGCAAATCGGTAACTAATGATCAGTTATCGATTCAGTTTAAAAAACAATAAATATCAATATAAAAAGGCTCGAAAAAACGATAAATATCGATAATCGATAAAAAGTCAATTATCCGAATTCCAAAATTTCCGAACGATATAATATACGTACACCCCGCTCCGCGTGCAACATTACTCGTCACAGTAGCCGGTCTCTGGTACGTTGGAATATGTAGTAGTGATGCGCAACTTATAATAAAAAATTCACCATTGGAATTAATCACGATTAACTTTATGGCTAAAAATATAGTAACCGGTGTGAAGTTAGCACCCATATTCCACCAGACAATTTCTCAAAGACACCCGAACGAATAGTGGCATCATTCTACAAGGAATAATATACTCTTATACCCCTAGTTAGAGTATACATACCAATTACAATTATGGCCAGAGTAAATACAATGAGAGAGCCCCTAAAGGGGTAGCAGCCAAAAATTAATTAATCAAGAATCGATTGCAATTCCCAAAGAATGATTGCTTTTGACGAAGCCCCTCTAGAACTTCTCTCAGAGAATTTGTTCTTATCGTAATTACTGTTCGTGAAGTGCCAGGCACGAAACATATATTGTTTGATCGCTCGTGAATCTTGTTGAAAACTCGTATAGTACTAGTACATGTTGTGATGATCAATTGTCCTAATGGGTGCAAAGCCCAGAGGTCCTTTCTGCTAGAGATACAGGGTGTTAAAGTCTAAAGCCTTAGCCCTTGTGGAAAGGCCTGCCTGCACCATTTTAC